ATCGGTCCCGTGAAAGCGATCACTGCCGGGGGTGCTCATGGAGTTAGCCAAATTCTGCTGGAACACGAAAGAGTCGATCCTATTTTTGACATAGTGAGTTTGAGATGAAGTTATAATATGACAACACATGACACATTCAGTGTCTGTCTTCAGGTTATCGCCTCTGGTCATACTGTCAATGGATCCATTTGCGTACTTCAAAGGACGGTGCGACCTGACATAGTGACTAGCAGCTTGTTCGGTTTTTCGTTTTTACTTTTTTCCTTTTATTATTGTTCAGTTTTTTTACAAATTCTTTAGTTTACAAGATGCACAACAACTCTGGGCAGTTGGTAGGAGAGAGGACGATTCGCATAAGTAAGGTTTCATCTTTGAAATTGGCTATCACTGCTGTCACAGTGTTAACTCACTTTGTTCTTGCTTTGTTCTATTTTTGTGTACTTTTCATAGGTATCTCATCGTTTCCCGAACTCGATCATCCCTAATCCTCGAGCTAGGAGAAGACATGGTTGAGCTGGAAGAACCACTCTTTCTTTCGGACGAGCCCACGGTAGCAGCTGGGGAGCTCGCCGATGGTGGTCTTGCTGTCCAAGTTTGTACATCTCTTCGTTTTGTTCATGCCATCTAATGACTTGCATCATTGCATCGTGATCACCTGTTGCTTTAAAGTTCTGCAGTAGTTCATAAGCTATACGTGTTTGCCGTGTAGATGCCTATATTTAGGTTACTTCTCTTCGTGTGGCTCTTGTAGCTGAAGAAAAACAACTTCAGCAAATAGACTTAGATTCCAACTTTCCCGTTGTAGCAGCATCGATAGTTGATCCATACGTGGCTCTTCTGACTCAGAATGGGCGCTTGATGCTATTCCATCTTGTGCTGAACCCAACTGTGCACTTGCAGGTAACGGTAGCTAGAGTCAGTTTTATGGGATTCCCAGTAGATCTCGATGTTATTAGGAGATTGATATATCAAATAGCGCCTTTGCGGAAAAGACGGTCCATCATCGAGCACCTTTAACTGCACTTTCAATATATCGTGATATGAGTGGTCTCATGGTTTGTTCTCATGATGTCGATGATGGGGGAATTACAGATGGAAGGAAGTTTAGCAAGGCGAGAAAGGTAAATTTTGACTTTTTTATCGACCTACTGAGGCGGATTTCTACCATAGGCGGCTACTCGTCGTAGTGCTGTGGACTCTATCGACCTTGATCTTTACGGCGAAGATGCACTGCCTACCAATAATGCCGCTGTGGACGAGGACGAGCTACTGTATGGAGAATTTGCAGGAAATAAGAAAGGTCATTTATTACACTTTTCACATAGTTGCTCATAATCAACGTTTTCAGAAGAGGGAGTACGAAAAAGGAAGAGAATTGCTGAAATAAGCAGTGTCATTAATGGATGCGAGGAGTCGGATGCCATTGATCCCAACACTGGTTGGTAGTTCGTAATTGTAATTACCACCATGTTACTCCTTTTTCTTAAGTGGAACCTACGTATTGGCTCATTTTGGCGCGTGACAGTGGGAAAGTTGTGATCCATTCTTTGCCTGATATGGCAATAGTGTACCAGGTATGCCTCCTCTGCATTAGTGCGTGATAAGTAAATTTGTCTCAATCGAACGTACCATCTCCGTTGATTTTTTCCATTCATCCTTTTGTTTTTTTGAGCAATCATTAGAAAGTTAGATTTTTTCTCGGGGGTTGTATAGTCGATTCCTAAAACAAGATAACAAAATGCCGGCAGACATAGGGGCAGGATGCCGACGCCTCTGAGTTTTGAGCGCGGGAAACCCGAAACAGCTGTTCCTGCAGCCGTTGAGGGTGTGAGTTTTTCATAGTTCCCTCGTATTTTTTTTCTTTTTTAGGCAGAAGTTACCAGCTGACTGTTCAACGAGGTGTCTGGTAGTCTTTCTCAAATGA